ATGTGGGATCTTCCCGGACCGGGGCACAAACCCGTGTTCCATGCATCGGCAGGCAGACTCTCAACCACTGTGCCACCAGAGAAGCCCCAGACACACTCCTGAGTGGAGGCAGGAGAATGATCTTACAGAACACAGCACAAGGCAGAGCACAATTTGAAGAAAATGCAGAACTTAAATTGAGCTTTGCAAGAATAGCAGAGAAACGGAAAGGAAGGTTTTCCAAACAATCGGAATGTTTTCATTAAAAGCATAGAGGTAGTGAGATAAAGGTCACTGAATTGATACTGGAGAGATCAGATATACCTTAAGGAGCAAGATCAAACAAAAACTAGTGAGAAACTCCCTATTTCCCTTCTTCTCCCTGCCCCCAACCCCCACAAAAATCTCAAAGTTCTGTTGATGGGAATAATAAATTGACAAATTCATTGTGGGATATCAGAAACTTTACAGTGCAAAAAACACGGGAGGAAATTGTTACATACGTGCCTAATGGAAAACAAACCAAGGCCTGTCATTAGCTATTACTAAAAAAATTTCATAATGAAATTAGCCATTAAAAACAAAAAAGCCTTGAGTCTATGAAAGTCCAGTATTAACATGCTCATTACATATCGTGTAATGTGATGTGTGTTTATTACATATCCCATTACAAAATTCTATTCTAAACAGATGTGTTTTAAAATAGGGAAAATAATGGGTCAGCCTATCTTAAAGGGCTTTAATTTCAGTATTTCTTAACTATCAAAAACTCATTGTGAAACACACACTATTTTGTTTCGTCTTCTTTTCTCACTGTTTCCTCTGTTCTGTCTTCTGCTTAGGAAAATTAGGAGGCAGGAAATAAAAATCACTTATTTTTCTCCATCCCCTATCAAGTTCTCATGAGAAAGACATGCAGCTCTTCTAATATCAAAATAAAGACTATATTCAACAACTGATTCAGTAGACTTTTATTGATCTTTCAACTTCAATAACATCTCCAAAAATAGTTTTCTTCTAATATTATGAAACAGATTTAAAAAGCAGGATTATTCACATTATAGACTTGGTAGATACTTGTACTTCATATTGATGAAAAATATCGCTTCTACATTTTAAATGTTTACTTTGGATTTTATAAAAGAAAATATTATCATTGTATAATTATAAAAGTCATAAAAATTAGAACTGTACTGTTATTATTATACCAAGCTATCAAATACTGTATAAATGAACAATAAATTCAATTTCTATTTATATAAATGTAGTAAACATTGGAAGAGAACCCCCCTACAAAAAAAAAAACAACTCTTAATATGAAAGTAACAAAAGAAAAGCAACACAAGAATCATCAACGCACAAAATTCTGATTAAAAAAACAACTGTTAACAAGTACTCTAAGTCAACTGTAGAAGTCAATACATGCTAATTAAATTTTAAAAAATGATCTTTAGACAATTCCATTTCCAACTATGTTTTCCTATTATTGACACACATTACTTTTTGAAAAGTTAGAAAAGAACCAACTTTACATTAAAATTGCCAAATTTTGAAATATGAACACTATTTTAAATTTTGGATGTCCTTAAACTCTTTAAGTTTACTTTCTAAAAAAATAATTGTTGGACTAAACCAAAAGACAGTTCACATAGTTCTACTGCATATGATAACAATGATGTGATCTACATAAATAAATTTAAAACATTAAATTATTTAATTTAAACATTTTTGAATTACAATGTTATATTAACGGCTTACACATCCGAAATCTGAGCACTTTAAAACAGGATTCACATGTTACACTGTTGAGCACATTTACATAACTTATATACATGATACAATCCTTTAAAAACAGCAAGCTCTGGTGTCATACCTGTTTCGGAAACCATTTTCCTTTTTACAGAATTTTGAACCTGCTTTTGCAAAAGGTACAAGTTATAAAGCTATTATATATATACATAAACTTTAGGTATATGGAAGAAACATTTTTTTTAGATGGAGAAAATGAAAGTAATTTTGAGTGGTAAAGAAATCCGCTTTATAAATACATGCGTTAGCACATAAAAAATTCTGTCCTACACATTTTATATGCTTGGCAAATATGAACAATGATACGCCACAGCTTTTTTAAACAACTTGAGAGATTTATGATTGACAACATCATTCACACAAGCACACTCACATATACAACACCCATTAGAAAGATCGTGCCTCACTTCGTATATCTAATATCATTAGAGAATATATAGTATCATCCTTTTATCATAAGGAAGTTATTAGTTCATTGTCTTCTCAAAAGCGGCAATTTTAGAGTGAAATAGCATTCAAGTGAAAGTGAATTTCAGATGGTCAACATGAGGATGTATTACAGTCCTTGTAAACAGATGTCTATAAATAAATAAAATAGGTAGAGGAAAGAATATCCTGAGGTGGCCCTGCGGCCAGGGTACTCAGTAGTACTGAGCTCCATCCTGGAAACCAAGGCATCTGAAAAAGTGCAGGGCTGTTATATGAATTTATTTTATAAATGGAATATGCACAGGTTTAATTCTTTTTCACCTTGAGGTAAATCAGTACATAGCAATTACTACTGCTCATCTATACCTGTTTAAGGCAACATTTAAAAAGCAATATATGTAGTAAATTACATTTTTCACTGTCTTTCAAAGAATGCTATCCATGATTGTTATTTTTCAAAAATAGTGGAAAAGTATCATAACCACATAAACAAGCTATTAAACATGAGTTACCTTTGCTTTTCAATGAAGTAGTCAATCAGATCATTTTGTAAGTCAAGTAGTCAAAAGAAAGCAGAGACTATTAACAATTAGAAACATAGTAAAAACACTGAGTACAAAGCATTTTGCACGTCATGGTTTTTCTGGCACTGGACAACCAGTATTCATAAATAAAATCACATAAACACTATGATCCCAGGTAGATTTCAGTTCAAATTTTAAAATTACTTCCCGTAAAAAAGCACATTTGTTAACCCTGTGACATCCAGACACTAGGGAATGGTGTAAGGAAATCCTCTTGTTCAGGTTCATCAGGGGAGATACAAAATCATAGCAGCAAATACTGGGGTCTTTGGAAATGATTCTGCTGCTATGAATAAAAAGGAATCACTTCAATGGAAGCTCATAAACAGTAACAAGCACCGTGGGTAATACTCTCTCATCAAGTGCTGACAGCATCTCTCTTCTTTAGGCAGTACCAAATGGTGCCAGCTACATTTTCTAAAGAAAATAAGCTACATTTCCAACCTGCCATGTGAGGCAGAAGTTGAATCCATTATTTTAACTAGAATCGGATCACATGGTCTTAGGTGTGGAAATTTTATTAGTTAAGTAGTTTAGAATTGATTGCTAGAATTGCTAAAATATCAGCTTTTGGCATTGCTCATGATCTTCTATAAGATCAATTCTTCATACTTTTGTACTTTAATTAAAAATGATTAAAGGAAGTATCGGAATTTCATTAAAATTTTCATCCTAACATTCATGTTATTATTTTCGGTATTTCAGTGGCTTCTCAATACTCATTTCGTTTTTAGAAATCATCCTCTTGCCAAAACAGTTCCACAACCCCATTCATCCAGTCCTACAGGCTTAACAAGAACAACATTTATTTATTTCATATGGAGGTAAAAGTATATAAAAGATGACTAAAAAGATTTGCTAGAAGTTAAAAAGACAGCTTAGAAAAGCAAAATCTAATTAAAACATACAAACACAAACTAGGAAGAATGTCATCAATCTGAGCTATACATAATAGGTCTAAATTTCTTTTAAAATACAAATATGGCAGTGCTTTATATTAAAGATGTAAAATCTACCAACTGCTCTCAGATAATAAACCATAAATGCAAGTGAGCACCAACTATTTATATTAACAATTTACTCTATATTTGTTACCTTTTCAAATGTTTATATAATATTTAAGCATCATATCAATTAAAATAAATAAAATATTTTAAAATGAAATCTATTAAATATTACCTATACAACAGAAAGAACAACGTAAACAGAAAATGAAAGGTAATTCGTAATAAAGTAATACTGATCTTAAACCCACTTAAGAGAATTCTGACTCCTGATTATTTAATCATACTACTTATAATAGAAAAATAATCAAGAACTTGAACCTGATACAAACTAAACCACATTTTAAGTAAAGGACAGCAAAGGCAGAGAATAGAGTGGGTATCTGGGGCTCTAATAGAGTACTAGGATTCAGAAAAAAATTTCTACAAAGGCAACAAAATTTAACTATCGTAAATTGGTATTTTATAGCTTTTAAAATTCATAAACTGAGTGGTATGGGAGTTAAATTATAAAATCACCTGCAATTATACTTGTTTATTAGAATGGAGACCTAGATGCGGAGGTTTTAAAGTTTAAAATAAATTTCAAAAACATAAAGGTCAAAATTATAGTTCTTATCTAGAAAGTTTCCACTGTTCTACCTCTATAGCGAAAACGTTCCCATCACCTGTGAAACATGATGGACATGCATGTAATGCAACACACACACAGCAGCCAGGATACGGCCCCATCTGTGCCCCAGCACTAGCAGAGACACCCTGTTCTTCCCACAAAGCACTAGCAGAAAGGAAGTAATATGGGAATATTTCTAGCAACTCAATGAAAAAATTTAAATACGTATCACTTAAGGTTGGTATGGACTGCCACTGATGAACAAACAGATTTAAAGAAAAGTAGATTGAATGCATTTCCCCACATTTTTCTATTGCAGAACAGAAAAAAATTTTCCAACAGGAAAATAAATATTTGACTAGTAAGAATCATGTACCTCACTTCTAAGAGACCATTTCATTATATACAGTCTCCATGGTGCTTCTAACAAACTTCAGACACTACTTCAAAAAACCCCAGTCATGCATAAATGGCATGACATACAAAACTGTTATATATAGTGACATGAAATATTATATATACATACACATATATATGTATATATATATATATTATCTATAAATAATTCCTCTTGGTTCAATTCTATAATGAAGTTTCAGCATCCATGTATTTCTTTGTTGGTTCATCTTCAAAACTTATTTTCACACTTACAGGTTTTTCAGGGCTATTTAAAACAAAGAATGAGAATAAATAATTTTGAAATGGTTAAACATTACATTCAAACATGGCCAACAGTAAATATCCATAAGAGCCTTTTGAGACAACTATTAATACCATAAACATACAACTTGCTATTTCTATCTTACTGCTTTCTTTTCATATCAGTAAACTTAACTGGAAAGGCAAATATTAAAAAGTCTTAGTTTTTTAAAGATATTTTTGCCACTAAATTTCACATTTTTCTTACAACTGAAGAGGAGCTCCTTAAAATTGGTCAGTGTATGATGACTGTGCTTGACAAGTTTTACTTTATATGTGAACAGTTGTAGCATTTGACTTTTATTTTACTGACAAATTCATTAAAAATTAATCTTTGTCAATATAAATAAGCATCAAATAATTTCCTGCAAAATGTAACAAATCTTATCTCCCCAAATTTGGTTCATAAATACAAGATCAAAATACAATTCTACATTTTCAAGTTAATATCAAATACAAGGATTCCATGTATATGGATTTAACTGATTAACTGATTTAATTGTAACATGAATATCTGGGCTTTGAAAATTTTGCAAAAGATAGAAACACGCTATGGTTTGCTGCCTTCTCCAGACAAAACTGAAGGAAGATAATCCAAACATTTTTCTGTTCAACAATGTAACAAAACATTCCCTTTCTTCCCATGTGATTTTGAATTGAGCGGCAACCTGAATGAAAGGCAGAAGTATAAAAGACAAAATACTACTACTGTAAGGTCTTTCTATTTATCCTAACTATACTAACATTCTGGGCCAGGGGTGCTGACAAGGTGTGAAAAGTTACTAAAGAGTAAAAAGAGTATCTAGTGAAATTCTGGCTGCATGAAATAATCCAAAACGACAAAAAGTTTAACTTAAGAACTTTTGAGATCAAAGATAGAAGTGAAGGAAACAGTCTAGATTAGAGAATTAAAAATCAAGAAATGATGAGAGAAAAGCCAAAAGAGTTGATAACTGAGATTCAGTAGGAGCAAGGTTCTAAA